TTCTATATATTGTTTTCTGAAATAAATATATCAAATAATAATGCCAAATATGATAAATTAAATAATGTAATAAGAGAATATTAAGATATAAAAAAGTTAATTAGTTTAAACATATCATCATACTTAGAACTTTTTCTGCTAATCCTTATTTTCTATAACAAATCAAAAAACAAAAAAATATTATAGCAAAACCATATTACAAAAGTCAACACTAAATATATAAAAAAAAGAAAAGACCAGAGCACCACAACTAGCAGCACTTCAAACAAGTAAATGCTAAAGAAAATAAGCAAAAGCATATAGCACAAAAAGGAAACAATTAAATTTTTGTTTTTATAAAAACAAAAAATATGCATTTTACAGAGACCTGGTATTGCAGATCACCAAAACAAAACAACAACAACACATGTATGTGAAAATATTATTAAAGTAAACAAAGTACTAAAAAGGCAATAGGCAATAGTTTATAATAGTGCTATAGCAATATAAACAAACAGATACATATTTTATATGAGTTACAGAAGTGGTATTAAATAATTAGATTATCATGAAACATCTAGAAAAGTATAGAGGTTTATTTGAATAACAGAAAAATAAAATAATAGAAGCCCTAAATAAATTAAACATCTTTATACTAAAACAAAATAAAGAAATTGCAAAGCACTTAGGCATAGCAAAACCAGAAACAGTATATATTGTTAGGCAGGCAATAGAAGTATATAACTGAGAAGAATATCAAAAAGCAATCAGATAAAAAAAAAAAGCATACAAAATCAACATTTCAAGTTTGCTAGAAAAAATAACTAAAGAAGTATTTAGCAGAAAGCTTGCATTAACTCAGTTAGAAATAGAAACAACTGATTATGAAAATAAGGAACTAGAACAACAAATTTTGAGCTTTATCAACAATTTAGAAGATGGAAATTCTAGTAGTATAGAAAAAAAAAAAAGTACATACATAAGAAAGAGAATAAAAGAGAAAAATAAGAAAAAACTAATAACAAAAAAGATATTCAAAAAGATATAAATAAAGAAATAGAGAATATAAAAGCAAAGAAAATAGAAAAAAAAAAGTCTTAAAAATTAGATATATAAAAGAAAAAAGCCTTAAAAACCTATAAAAAAAAAGTGCAATGCACAATTTGAGACCTTCCATATAATATCACTGCAAAACAAGTATTAAAATTGGTCAAAAGGATAGAAAAACCCAATAAAATATGCATATGACATAGTATGAATAAAAAAACTTGAACAGAAATAGAATAGAGTATAGCAAACCAAGATCTTAAAAATAAAGTAAAGAGAATTTGGGTACTATTACTAAGAAGCAGTCATTTAGCAAAAATAACAGTAAAAAGAGGTGACAGTTCAGAACTAAAAGAAAAAAGAAAAATTTATACTAGAATTAAAAAACTGCTTAGCTTTACAAAAGAAATGCTTTTGCTAAGACAGTTGAGAAACATCAATGCAAAAGCAGTACATATTTTTTTAAACAAGAATAAAAATCAAAAAAGCTAAGCCATAGTGGAATTGGAAAATGAAAAAGACAAAAAAAGAGCACTATGTAGAAGAATAAAGTACTTTAACTATAGTTTAGAATAGAAAACTGAAAGTGGCTATAGAAAGAATGAAAGCCTAGATATAAGAAATAAAACAGCTAATAAAAATTTCAGAAGAAGGACTCAAGAACAACTACAGCAAACAGCAAGAGAAGAAAACAGTAAAGAAAATTGGAGTACCACAAGTTCTAGGAATAAAGAGAAAAAAAGAGACAAAGAAGCTAACAGAAAGAAGAAGCAATATAAGAAAGATAATAAAGAGGAAGCAATCAAGAAAATCCTTCAGAGATTGATAGAAGAGGTTAGAGAAAAGTTATATAAGAAGCTGTTAAGAGATATGAAGAATGAAGCAAATGCTTCTAATTATTCCTAAAACAGTTGCTACAGTTGTCTTTAGGAACATATTTACAAAGAAAGAGTTTAGCTCAGTAGGAATAAAGTCAAACAAGAAAGAATCCACAAAAACAAGAATAGTTGTTAAAGAAAAAGAACAATATAAAGCAATAAAATTGGAAGTACACAATATAAATGTCATAAAAGAAAATAGTTACAAGCTTCAAGAGTTACTAAACTACTGCAAAGATCAAAAACTTAATGTAATAGAAATTACAGAAACTAATATAAAGGAAAAAGAAGCAAAATTTATAGAGATTTAAAAAAAAGGTTATAGAAACTATTAGTCAAATGTAGAGCAAAACAAGTATAAAGGCTTAGGAGTAGGCATATTAGTAGAAGTTAAATAGAGCAAACATATTACAAAGATAGAAAGACTGAATGCTTACTTAATTAAAACAGTATTTATATTTAAAAAAGTAGCAATCATATATTGAATTATGTATTTATCACCAAATAATAGAAACTTACAAAAAGACATACAAAGAGTTATAACACAAGATGTATGCATAGCCAAAAGGAACTTACATCATATTATAATAGAAGACTTCAACAAAATACTAGACTTAACACTAGATACAACAAGCAGTACAAGCAAAAAACAGAAGAAGCTTTCACTAATAGAATGGTTAAAAAGTATTGAATTTACAGAAACATTTTGGTATTGCAATTCAATACAATGAAAGTTTATATAATCAAATAGTGTAACTAAGACAAGGATTAATTAAATATAGGCAGCTGGCTTTCTGAAATTAGAAATAGAAAACAGTAATATTAAGGAGATAAAGATTATAACAAATAGTAACTATAATTTAGTATAAACAGAGATTGGCCTAGGTTTAGTTTTAAAATTTCTACAAAAAACAAAAAGAACAAAAGAAGCATCTAGACAAAGAATTTTTTTATACAAAAAGGCAACAGAGAAGATATAAGAAGAATATAAAACAACATTAAAGAAAATGTTACAAGCAAAACTTGAATTAAATACTCAAAACAAAAAATACAAGAAGAAAATAATAAGAGAAAAGCCAAATATAGAAAAAAAAATAAACAAAGAGTAGGAAGTAATTGAGAAGTCAATTTTAAAAGTAGCTTTCAAACATATACCCTCTAAGATGATAAAGTATAAATTAGAAGAAATAGAAAAACATATAAATAGATTTTTTCTTTTCAAAGACACTAAGAATCTAAGAAGAATAACTCAACAAACAGCAAAAGATATAGACCAGAAGTTAGATGAAATTGATAAGCTGCTAACTAATACTCAAATTAATTTAATTAACAAAAAAAGTGAAACAATAATATCACAAATAGAAGAAAGTTAGATAGCAGAATGGATTAAAGAGACAAAAGGTTAAATAAAAACACTAGAGCAAAAACTTAAAGAAGAAGAGAAAAAAAGAATTAAATGAACTATTATCAATAATATAGAAAAGAGATACAGCTTAATTGGCAAAAAAGATAAGCTTATGTTGAATAGCATTTTGGAAAAACCTTAAAGAAAGATAGTTATTAACAAAGTTATAAAAGAAAACAATATAGATACTTAAGAAACACTAATAACAGATCCAAATCAAGTTAAAGAAGAAGCAAATAGTCATTTCAAGAATCAGTTCAGAAAGAGAAAGCATCTTTTTGAGTAGTTTTCTAAAGACTGGGAAAAAGAATACAAGACCAAGATATAGATTAAAGAAGAATAGTATAGTAAAATACTATAGTTTATGTTATCTATAGTCATTAATCAAATTTAAACAACTTTAAACAACAACTAGTTTTTTTATTAAAATAAAATTAAAATTTTAAACTGTGTAAAAATAATAAATTTAATGCTTCTCTATCAGATTTATGGTTTATTTTTTTTAGTTATTTTTTATTTTCATAAAATATTAAAGTTAAATATAAGCACTTTTTATTAGTAATTATTAAATTTCGAACATCAATTATTTTATTTTATCCAATTAGCAAACAGAACTTGGTTATGTGATTGGTCAATTCGAAATACTAAAAAGTATATAAAATATATTTTCAATACAATGCAATAAAATAAATTTATCAACTCATTTCTTATATTTTTCATATATAAATTGAAATCATTTAACCACATAACAATTGTTTTATAACTTCAGACCAAATTACTTTAGTTTGCTAGATGAATAAACAATTAAATGATTAAAAAATTTTTTAGACAATTCTAGCCCTTATTTTAATAACATTTATTTATTCTGCTTTGCTATATCTGATTAAAATAAAAAAAAAAATGTATAAATAAATATATAGATAAATAGATAATCAAAAATAAAAAATAAAAAAAAATATTTAAAGATACTTATTGTAATATACAATACATAAGCACTGCAAAGAAAAAACATGTAATTATTATTTAATTATTATTAAATAAAGAATTTAGACTTTTTCCTTTGCTGATGCCCATATACATTGCTAGCAAGATATGTGAATCTTGCATTTTCTAAGTAACTTTTACATAATGATTAATAATATAAAATTTAAAACAAAAGAGGCTTTATCTATTAAAAAAATTTTAATTGATAGAATTGGTTTAATAATAACTTTACCTTCTACTTGATCATGTGATAGAATGTGATTTTTGGTACAATTCAAAAGTGCTAACCTGAAAGTAAAGTAATTAAGTATCATAATTAAAAATAAAAATAAATTAATAAAACTAAAATAAGTAAAATGCAAACAAGACAGGTAATAATACAATATTGAAATTAATAAGGTAGTGTTAAAGCATATAAAAATAAAAATAAATGACATAGGAAAAATAGTTAAAAGTGAATTAAAATAATAATACTTCTATTAATTGCCAAAAAGACTTCAAAGATAACAAATTAGTTATTGATCAAACAGTAAATTAGATGTATTTTCTTAAATGTAAAAAGATGCAGCTAAAAAGTTTATAAATTCATATTATTAATTATTAAAAAACTATTTAAAATACTTAAATAAATCTTATAGACCATCTGTAAAGTGTTTTTTTAAATTAATTTTATACACATATTCATTAACTATAAATAAAAATAAAAAATGCTACCTTCTTCTAAAGGAAAAAGAAAAGCCAGAAATCAGAATAGAAATAGTGAAGGTCAATATTGTAATTTCAAAAAAGTTCTTTACATTTTAGTAATTTTAACTGATCAAGAAAATCTGGAAGATAAATTTGGTGAACTATATAATAGTGATGAAGAAGGTTAGTTGGATATTAGCAATAAAAAAGGAAGTAAAGATAATGGTTGAAATAAATATGATAAATTAAATGTTAGTGATTTAGAATAAAAGAATGAGAAAGATAGTAGATGGGACAATGCTGAGAATATTGAAACTAAATTTAAAGAATTTAACTTAGAATGGAAAAATAAAAACCAATTAGAAAAAATAAAATGAGGTCCATATATGAAAGGCAGAACACTAAAGTCAACTTATTATAATAAGTATAGGCCAAATGGTATCTTTATTAAAGCAGCAGTTGGTACCAAAAAAATTATTAGTTTTTTTAATAACATCGAGATACAAGTTACAAATCTACAACCTAACAAGTTAGATAAGGTCTTAAGTGATTCAGAAAGTGAGACTGACTTATATATCTATAAAATAAATAAAAGGGTGAAAGATTAAAAAAAACAATTAGAACAAAATCATGATACATTAACAGTTAAAAAGTATAATTATAAAAGAGCTATTTTGAATATCTTAGTTTGTTAAGTAATAATAATAGTCATGACAAAATTAAAGCTAGTTTGAAGGTTGTGCAAAAGGTTTTTATTAATAGTAGTATGTGAAAAGCATGAATAATTTGATATTTTATGGAATATTGGTTACTTAATGATAAGCTTTCATCATCTAAGCATGGAAAGCACCAAAAAACAATTAGGATAATCAATAATAAAGATATTGAAATCAAATGCCATATTTGAATTAAAAGCCAAAATTTCAAAATTACACTTGTTATATTTAAAAAATTTATCAAAGAGGACTTGTTTCCTAATGTTAAAATTTTAAAAAAAAAAATTGTTAGTTTAAAGACTACAGATAGATGGCTTAAGGTTTTTGGCTATTCATTCCAATAACATCATCAAGATATATACTATGATGATTATGAAAGAAAAGATGTTTTAGAATATAGAAAAACTTTTTTAGAAAAAATATTTGAATATGAAAAGTATATGTCAAAATATGAAGGTGAGTTTATGAAAAGGATATGTCCTATTTTATCTTAAAAAGAAAAAGAAAGAGCTCTTGTAGTATATAATAAATGTATATTTTATTTAAATAATGATAAACAGAGTGTATAGACTAAAGACAGAAGAATACTACTATAAAACAAAAGAAATAAAAGATCAATCATGATTAGTAAATTTTTTACTGAAGTTAATGGATGTTTATGCTTACAACAATTTGATATAGAAAAATATTCTAATATACCTAAAAAAACAAGATGTTACTTAATACCTGATGCAAATCAAGAAGGTTACTAGATTACAAAACACCTTCTTAAACAAATTAAATATAAGGCAATTCCTATTTTTGAGACATTATATCCTGATTGTATAGCTGTATTTGCTTTCAACAATAGTTCTAATTATGATATATTTAGTAAAGATGCTTTAATTGCAAGTAGAATGAATCTAGACCCAGATAAAAAGCAACTAATTATACATGATACTTATTTTGGAGAAAATAATCAATTACAATTGATAATATTTCAGAAACAGATTTAGACATAATGTTATATGAGAAACTATATAGTAAATTAGATAAAAAGCTTTAAGACAAACTTAAAGGTATCAAATAAGTGCTAACAGAACAAGAAAAATGGCCATTTGAAGAGTTAGTTTTAAACTATAAAAAATGTAAAGAAAAGATTAAAGATATTTCAAGAGTTTCTTGTTGTGCATGCTGTGTATTATCTCTAGAACCTGACTTTTTTGCTTAAAAAAAATGCAATTGAAGAACTAATTGAAGGCATAGGACATAAATGTATCTTTTTTCCTAAATTTTACTGTAAGTTAAACTTTATTAAAAGATATTAGAAGGCTACTAAAAGGTATGCATATGAGAATTATGATTGTTCATAGCAAGGATTACAAAAAACTATACTTGAAAGTCTTGAATTAGTGCCTTTAATAACTATTAGAAAATTTTTAAAAAAATGTTAGCATTATATAAATTTTTATAGAAATGGTCTTAGTGAAAAACTAGTAAAATATGCAGTAAAGAAATATAAAACTTACAGAAAAATTCTGAATAGTATTTATAAAGAGTTGGATAAATTAAACAATATCTAAATCTTATAAAACAACAAAAACTCTTCTCGCTGATCATCTAAATACAAAATCAACCAAAAAGAAAAACTGTTTTTATGCAAAAGTGGCCTTCTAAACTACTTTGACAGATCTAAGTAAAAAGAAAGAGCATCCAAAAAAGGTATATAAAAAAAGAAGAAATAGACAAACACAAGAGATATAGTATAAACAAGCAAAGAAAACTAAAATTTCTTGAAGAAAATGCTCAAAAATTTGAAAATTGTAGCATTTTGGGGAATTGGTACTAACCTGGTATTACAGATCTGTTTTGGTCACAAAAACGTAAACAAACAAGCAATTCAACCACATGTAGAATAAGCAAAACAAACACATGCTTAATATAGATAGAAATATGGATACAACCAAAAGATGTAACAGCAGCCTAATAACAACATATATTAACAGAGCATACTGAGCTATCAATAGTATGCAAAATGGTGTATTCATTAAACAAGCAGGTGAAACATATATATTGCCTAGCAGAGAAGACGAAATTGTTGTTATGTTGACAAATCAAAATTTAGAAAAAGTTGCTCTATTAAGATTAATAAGAGAATTAATAGATAAAGCAGAGAAAGAGCAACCAGAAAGAAAATTAAGTATAGTAGAGCAAAGCAACTATGCAATGATACTAGAACCCATTTCAGAACAAAGTCAAAATAGACTTAAGAAGAAAGGTAGCCAAACTGCAAGAATGGAAGAGTCAGAAAAGATAGAACAAGACCAAACATCAAAGGAGAAACCAAAAGAAAGGAAATAACATAAAGAAAAGGTTCAAGAAACTAACAAGATATTGCAGAAAGAAGAGGCAGCAAAAGTAAGTACTAATTACAACAGCAAGATGGAAGTAGAACAAATCCAATAAAAACAAGAGAACGTGCCTAGCCAAAAAAAAAATGCAGAAAAACAAAAAGAGAAGCAAGAACAAGAAGTTATTGAACTAGACTTCAAAAGAGAAATTGATATAGTAGGAGAACCTCTTGAAGAAAGCATATAGGCCCCAAGCAAGAGAAATTGTAACCAGAACAATAGTCGACTTGCAAACGTACCAGCACACAATGTGCCAGAGAAAATGAAAGAAAAATGTATAAAGTTTATTAGATGGTCTTTAAGAAATAATATACACATCAAAGATGTAAAAGAAATCTTCAAAAGAAGAAACTTATGGGTAGAAGTTGACTTTGACTATGAGTACGGCAGAAATGATGCTATACAGAGAATCAGCAAAAAAGAGAGTGACTGGTATAGAAAAATACCAGAGAAAAAAGAAAACATTATAAAGAGACAGACACATTATGTGAAAAAAAGTCAAAAGAGAGACAGCAGCAAATTAAGAATCAAAGAAGAAGAAGTCAAAAGAAAAGAAAATAAAAGCAAGACAAACAAAAACCAATACAAAGCAAATGAAGAATCAGAGAACACAAGTTATATAACAATTTGGGACCTACCTGCAGATATAAAGAAAGAGAACTGGAATACATCTGTAGAAGATTTAGAAAGGCCTATATAGTAAGAATTAAGAAATCCAAGTACAAAGCCTTAGCCATAGTCAAGATTGAGAAAATATATAAAGACATTCCATAGGCAATACCAGTAAATAATAATAAACTGGTTCAAGTAACCAAGGGAATAGAAGACCATGAAGCTAAAGAAGGACAAAGAAAATATGCAGCAAAACTGACAGAATTACCAAGAAGCACCTCAGAAGTCTTACTACTATGAAGCCTAAGAAACAAAGGTGCCAAATCGATTTACATCCCACCAAATAGAAATGAGAACCAAAAAAGATCAGCAATAGTTATGTTTGTGACAGAAAGAGACATGAGAGCTGCCCAAACAAAGCTGATTATATATAACAACTTTCGAGTCTACTAGATAAATGAAGAAAAGAGAGAAACAAGAAAAAGAGAAAGTTTTGAAGTAGAAAAAGGAAGAAGCTAGGACAGATACAGCCAGACCCCATATACAGAAAAGAATAGAAGCAGCAGAGGAAAACAAAGAAACAGAACTTATACAAAAAAGTACAAAAATGGAAATAGTGCAAGCCAGAAGGATTTCTTGTTAAATGAAAGAAGCAGATCTCAAAGCCAAAGTACAGAAAACCAAATA